GAATATTTTCTATTACAGCATGCCTTGTGCCAAAATGAGTAAAGTCAGGTCAATACTTTCTAGCCCCATATACAAATTTTAGTTTATGTATCATATATGGTATTTTAAACTTCGGACTTTAACCGCATCTGTCGTCAATATTAAGGAATCTTAAGATGAGACAAAACCTCTTCTAATAACAGTGTATTCTCTTGCATGAATGTTATCAAGGCAATAGTTCCCAGTCCCATATATCTAATATACGGATTTTTAAACATCCACTTGACTTTATTCCTTATACAATATATTGGGCAAACTGAGGGGTTTCTAAATCAAATTCAGAGTGTCTATATTTCTGGTAATGATATGTCGTTATACCAAACCTGGATATAATCGTCAAAATATTCCTTATCCATATATTATAGATATTAGAAAATTAATAAGAATTATGTATCCGTCAATGGTAAGATATCTTACAATGTTAAGTGAAAAATAATATTAGATATTCTATAGTTTAATGCCAAAATGTGCGAATCGATACCCAGCTTCTCATTGATTGAGTATAATGTCTCCTATTCCCATATATTAAATTACTTTCACATGATAATCATATGCTACATGTATATCTCGATTAGTTAATGATTCACAAAATATCGTTATGTTAAGAAAACAATTCTATGCATAGCATGTTATGAGTATATAAATATACATACATACTTAGATTATATCAAACACTTGTGTGGTTTAAAAATGGTCGAAAATACATAAATTGATTGACTTATACATTCTAAGTGTGCTATCATGAACGTGACTAATTCCTAATTTTATGTATTATATGTACATACCTATATACCAAATGTTTCAACAGCATAGATATTCGTAATCACGACCACACATGCAAAGCGAAGGCAAGCGAAAAGCGTAATGAGCTAGAGAATACTAGCGATAATGGTGTGGAAACATACAAAATATTAAGAATAAAAGTTCTCGAAACTAAAAGTATGCTATCTCCTTTAACGTAATCTTAAAAACTTTTATGAAGGCGATTTTTGATGACATTTTATCTGGAACAAGACTACTAACCTATTATCACTTGTTTGACTTTTCTATACCTAAAACTCTAAGCCAAATATCCATACCCGTTTTGAAAGCTACATATCAGGTAACCAGATTTGAACAATTTTACTGCTATTAAGAGTATTTTAATTTACTACTTTTATATATCAAAATTGATACGTTCCTAGAATACAAATAATAGATATTTTCAGTAGAACAACTTTCACTTGTGTTAAAATCCTATTTTCATATCTCTGGAACTTTAACGATTAAATATATAAAACCAAATTATGATTATTTATCGGATTTATAATACAGGCGAAGTAATTTTCACATACCGTTTATTACTAAAGAAATATAGCCGATGAGCACAAAATCACCAGCATATTTCTAAATATATGTATGTATATATATATCAAAGAAAAGCTGAACTTCGCGTTCCTCTGTAATTGACTACTGATTAAAGCTTTAGCACAATAAAGTACGCAAAGTTGAGAAGTGACTCGTTCTTTCACCATGTAGAATTATTAGTTCGACAATTTATATTATTTTAACATTTCGAAGTATATCGTATATTCCTACCTTATAAAGAACTGTAATTCTCAGGACATAAGTCCGTTTCCTATAAAGTATCTATTGTAACTCTGATCTTGGTTGTCTTATCAAATGATCAGAAATCAATACTTTAGACATATTATTTTCTATTATTATGCTCAGAAAACACTCTTCACTAAAGTCGCTGGAAGCCAAATCTATGAATACGTTTATGCTCTAAAATTCTACTTTAATTTTTGAATTTTGTTATTTTAAAACACCTTTTGAGCAGTGCATTGTCTTGATTAAACCTTGAAAACCTTCTTTGCTGATATGGCATTAGCAATTTCATGTATTTGCTTAATGACTTCTGGTGTGGTTGCGGTTTTGGTCGTCCTTCGCGTGGATCGTCTTCAACTAGTACGACCTAGTGTAAACTCACTAGCAAAATTCAACGTGCGTTTTGAAGGTGAACTCGTTATACCTTTAACAATTGTTCATCAATTTCTTTGCTTAAACCTTTCAAAATAAAGAATCTAATCACTGTCGATTTAAATTTTTCATATTAAAAATACTCTGACACGTCAATTTCAAATCTGAATATACAATAAAAGGCTAAAATTATATAATTGGAAGACTTGTAACTTTACATGTGTTCTCAGACAGATGTACCAATTTGAGAAAAGAATTGAAGCTAGTAGTGCTATTACTTGTAGTTTAGGCTATTAGAAGAATGATTGTAACAATGCTTACAAAACTGTCAGAAGATATGTATATTATTCTGATAATCTATCGAGTTTATTTCAAACTACTACCAAATTTCTATATGTGCTAAAGAATAGAAAATATAATACATAAAGTAAAGAGAAGTACAAGAGACTGCAGTCTTTAATGAGAAATTGCATAACTCAAAAAGTATCGAAATCGCCAACGGCCCATATCTTCCCTTGCTCCAATATAGCGGATATAATGAAACCTTATTATAATATTCCCACAACAGCCGATACCGGAATTGACCCGGATTTTATCCGGCCAAGGGCTGTTATTTCGACGATCTAACCCTGTTAAGTTTGTCGTCATTGGAAATCTGGGCCTCCCGTTAGATGACCTCGACGACAACGAATCTGAAATTTATCACCCAAACGGGGACTAGGTAATCGTTACAACACCAACAACAACAAACCTTATTATATTAAATTTTATACCACAAGTAAACTTGTATATTGAAACCATAAAATGTGGTCATTTTGTTTATAATTATATATAATTTCAAGATATATGTATATGTAAGAGTAATTAGTTAGCAAGAACGCCAAAAATTAGCTTATTCAATTAGGAATCTGCAGAATATATGGCTTTTGCTCTCATGTTGTTGCTTCTCTCGCAGAATAATAAAAAAAGCCAAACCATAAAAACTAAGTACAAATAAGCAAGGTTGAGTTCGGGTGTAAGCGAACATTTTATACTCTCGAAAGAATCAAAGCCGATAAAATATGTGCAAGTGTTGGCTAAACTTTATATTAAAATATTACTCGAAAAAACCGTTAGGTGAACAAAACTATTATACTCTGTAGCAACATATTGCAAGAGTATAAAATCACGTTGCGAAAGAATTCAAATTCGCTATTCTAAGGAATTATGAATGGATAACAATAGTATTTGTGATCTCTATAACTCATACTCATACTATGACTCTGAGACTTTCTTCATGACCCAAATATTTATTTTAAAATCTATTCTAAATGAGATATACTTATGTGACATAAATGCAATCAAAGTGGCTAAATTTAATATATTGAGAATATGAAGAAAAAAAAAAAACCCCTCTAGGGAACCGTCGCCCACCCTGGAACCGCTTTTGCATTACTTCAGGGTGGCGTTCCATTTTCCTCGTTGAGAGATTTACATCTACGCACCTGCGTCCAGGTCCCGCTTTTTGCTGCGTAGCAAAGTTTCTGCGAATTTCTGGATAATAGCCCAGTTAGCTTCGCTCTCCACCATGACGTTGATTAAGTTGTTCGCGCTTATTGGACCGACCAGGTCTTCTACGACGGTACGTTCCCTTTGCCATCGCTCACATTTATAGAATGTGTGTTCAGCGTCGTCCTCAGTCGCAGCGTTGTATAGGCTTCGACTTTTCCCATTTTGTAGAGGTGCTTTTTGAAGTGTCCATGACCGGATAGTAGCTGCGTAATGTAGAAGCCGGCTTCTTCGAATTTACGACTTGTCTATAAGTTTAGGTCTCTTATAAGCCTGGCTGTCCATCTGCCGCGACTCTCATTCTTCCATCTTCGTTGCCATGCTGATATCGTGGCATTTCCGCTTATAACTAATATTTCATCACCTGACACCGTTCGGTAAGCTGATGCAACTCTGAGGGCTGCGATGCGGTGTACTCTAGCCAATACCTTACGCCGATTTTCCTTTTTTAACACATCTGCCCAGATCTCTGCTCCGTATAATAGGACGCTGATGGTCGTGGACATTAGGACCTTTCTCTTTTCTTGGCTGGGCCCCCCTATGTTGGCTATTGGTCTGCTGAGTTGGGATGTGTGCGCTGCCTTTCCTGCGGCGTGCTGAATTTGTACCCCGAAAGTTAATCTGGGGGTCCAGTCTTACGCCTAGGTAGTTCACCGCATTTTGTGTCTTTAGAGTGTCCATAATCGTTTGCATACTTATTTCGAGAGGTATGTGCTTATTTGTTAGCAGTAGTAGTTCTGTTTTCTCCGTAGCGAGCTCGAGGTTGTGTGAGTCAAGCCATGCTTGTGTCCGTATCATGACCTCCGTCCGGGTCGGGTTATTTATTAGTTTTTAGCTTGCCAGTGGCCAGTTGCAGCTCTTCGAGGGTGAACTGGGGAATTTGCGGAAGTCTTGTTGTCTGTTCTGGATCACTAATCCTGTTTTCGTGTGTGGGGAAGAGTGTGCTTACGATATGATACATTTTGGCAGCGGTTAAGTCAGGTGGTTTTGCTCGACCTCCGAGTTTCTTCATAAAGTATTCAATACATATGTATGTAGTATATGGAAGCTAAAGTAATTCGTAAACTGTAGTATATTAAATATTATACATTCACGTAATTTTCGCTAAGATAACTCACATATCGAATGTTCGAAAATTTTTATATTAAGTATATAGCGGCTTAAGTGTAAGTGTAGTTACCATCTGATTTCACCCGTCGTCATCCTGACAATTTATATATTGCATATTGAATTTTATATCTATTTCGATTATATTTAAATGATACAAACAGCCGTTAGGTGAACAAAACTATTATACTCTCTATTGCAACATGTTGCGAGAGCATTAAAAATATGTAGCGGTAATATGTAGGGCAATCAGATTTGCTAATATTTTTTATATTTGTAGGAACTTAGTGATATTATTCTTCGCAAAAGTTTAATATTTAACTTTTATTTGTATTTCATTGCAGGCCAAAATGAACGACCATCACAATAACTTACAAAAAGGTATGAAACTTAAGCTAATTAAAACTGGATTTTTACATTTATTTCTAAAACCTTAATTACTATATTTTAAATGATGGTATATAAATTTTTGTGTCATATTGATATCGTAGAGCCACGTACAAAAGGAGTGAGGCTTCCTTGGGTGTGTTGTGAATATTGCGTTCAATGCTTATTGTATTCGATTTTCTACCTACAATTTCCAAACAGATGGCAACACTCTAACTTTTTCTTTTCATATCAGGCAGACTGAAAAGTTCGTATTGTTTGAAATTTCGTTCTACGATTTGTCTTTTAGATCAATCTGGTCTAGGTTTGAGAACAAGAAAAAAGTCATTGGTACTACATCCGGGATATACGGTAGATGTGGAAGTCGATGCAAGACATTTGGCTCATGCATATTGTAGTTCTTGGATCGTCAGTTGTGGGCTCACGCGGCACCTACTTTGCACAAAGCTTTCGTATACCTAAATTTAGAAAACGATTTGCCCAACTTTGATATGTGTTGTGTGTGTTAGCAATCTCAATCAACCTCGTCGGTTCATTCTCTTCGGTGCTCATATTCATGACTTATACAAAATTTAGCAAATGTTAGGTTTAAATACGTAACATACGTTTTCAATTCTAATGGCGCCCTCCTGTTTAAAATCACCTTACTTACACTACCTACCTCCTTAGTTTTTGCCTTACCAATGTAAGACATTGTCCGCAAACAGAAGAATTCTTTATGTTATATTTTCTGATTAGAACGGGTGTTTTTTGAGACCTATAACCAATTTGGCTTGCATTTCGAAATGTAGAGACTTACTCTGTAACAACGTTCACACATCGGACGCTGCGTCCACAATTCGAACTACCTTAGATCGGTTTCGCACCACGTTTACTCTAGTAGATAATGTGCATCATCAGAGAAGGCGTCCAATGTGCATCAAACGCGCTATTGCTGCTGTGGGTGCAGAATCCAACTTGTGCAAGAATTGAGGCCTAACAACCATCAAACGCGTCGCACGTTCAGTGAATGGGCTCAAAATGTGATGGCAACCTATCCCGATTTTCTCATGAAAATTTTGTTGAACTATTTAGCTCACTTTTGGTCAAATAAATACGTTCATGAACAACATTTGGACCCACAAGCTATTGTCGAGACACCGTTACATCCTCAAAAGTAACTGTTTGGTGTGCTCCATGAGCATATGGAATCATTGGTCCGTATTTGTTCACGTAGGAAGCCGGCCATCAAGTTACAGTCAATGGGGAACGCTATTAAGCCATGATTACTGACCTTTTCGTGCTTTTGGTTTCAACAAGACTGAGGTATCTTGTCCTTCATCTTTGATCGAAGTTAGTCGGTTAATACTTTTAAGAATATAAAGCTTATATAGCTTCTTAAAATGTGGTGTCGTCTTTGAACGTGCTGTCTGCACTACTAAGTTCTTTTATTTCTTTGACAGCAGTGTACAACTCTCAAAGGTCACGCATCCGCTTAAGCATTTCAAGGCGTCTGAGGCAAATTGCGTACTAAATAGTCGTATTTTACAGATGCATACCTCCAATATTATCCGCGGCTGGCTGTGGGTTTCATTCTTTTAATATTGTTAATTTTACATAAATCGCTTAGGTCTTTTCCAAAGTCATGATAGCATCTGGTCTCAATAGCGGTAATCTCTCATTTTTCTCCTCCACTTGTATTTTAATTTAAAACGATAAGATTGCAGATAACGTAATATTACGTAGATAGTACTATCTGCTAAACTATTTTGCTAACACAGTTGTAAATGTTCCATTGGTCAGATGCAAACTGGTATTTGCGGCATGGCGCATCGTTCGCTAGGTTAATGCATGTCACCGCAAAATGTTGCAAGTACACACCACGCTAGGCATTGGCGTGGCTGGTGGCGAATGCTTAGCGATGCAATCTGATGGCAATATTGTTAAATCTACGATAAGCATCAATGTGACGGCACAATGCACACTCCCACGCTGCAGCAACAACAAATGCTAACAACAAACCTGGGCAAATCAAGGAACGAAAAAAGTTGCTGCACTCCAAAATCAACCAACCACATTAGTCGGTAAAATATTGTAAGCAATTAACAAGAGCAAGAACAACAGCGACAACAACATGGACAATAACAACAACGATAATAACAATATTGTAATTAAGTGACAGCAGCATCGACATAATGCCTTAGCTTCAAAATGTTGCATCGCTTTTGTTGCAACTTTACTGACCTCTAAAACATTAACCCGAATTGTATTACGAGCTGCAACAACAGACTGCAGGCACTGAAGTGGCGTCTAAAATATGCCACACATACACACACACATTTAAGCATACACATATACATATGTGTATGCATGCGCACGTGTACTTTAGAGGGGCGCCGTGGTAAAAATAGCAAGATGTGTTTTTGCATTCGTTTATGTTTTGGTGGTCGTTGTTGTTTTTTCTGTTGTTGTATATAGACAAAAACATGAGGTGCAACAAGACGCTTTACAAGATGTTTACATCAATTCCTTAAATGCAAACAACATGCAACATGCACCCTTCACCCCTCCAACAACAAGCAAGCTGGCAGCAATAGCAAACGAGTAAATGACAAGTCCACAAAGCTAGCAGTCACTAAACGTAAAGTAACAACATTCGCCTACATTCGCAGCATGGTGTGACTACCGAATTATTTGCTCGCGATGTTATCTACGCTAGCAGTAGCAACCCTGTAGGGAAACCTTTTGGCACACTTTTAGTAGATGACTATTAATTCTGTAGACATCATTTAGTCTATCCTAAGCTTTTAGTAATCTAAAGCGAGTTGCTAGGTTTTTCAAGTTGGCGTTCATTTTCAAGCTTTACGAAAAGGACTACGTTTCATGGACTGCTTTATAATACGAGTCAATTATTTCTGTAAGCTTGATATCTCTGATGTTAGTAATCAGGGTTGCCAGCAGAGCCCGAGCATTGCCTATTTTCCGGCGATCAGAATAATTTTGTCGCAGCTATCTTAAGACGTAGTTGTAATTCATATTATGTAGACAGAAGGGAACCACAAGCCTTAACCAAGCCAAGACGTCCTACACTACATAAACTTCAGCTCATAATAAACTGAATCTCCGTCTGACATAACAAAGGAAATGTAAATACATATATGGCGTAACAGCTAGCCAGTATAACCTAACCTATATATTGCGCTTTCCAATTCTTTGCGCTATGTATATAAATCATTATTATGACCAACTAACAGCAAATTGGAGGCAAACTAATTAACTGTACAAGTATCTATAGGGAACTAACTGTATTCGGCATATATTTCCGACTAGGTAACTGGATTTGGGATGCCAACGTATTAGATGCATGGTGATTTCTCCGCGGTCATGTCAGCAGTGTAAGTGAAATCAATGGCGCTTGGCGGCGGCGCGACCGATAAAGATCGCTGACGGTGATCGCGATTTTGGCGATCGAATCGCAAAGTAAAACATGAAATTGCCAACCAGTTTTATTGTAATTTGATATTTTTGGAATATACGACAGAATAGACTTGCTGCTGTTTTTTACAAAGACAAAATCTCAAATGAAAACTCTACTCCCTTCATATTTCTGGATGAGTTTTTTCGACCTGAGCCAATCCCTAAAACATGACAGAATTAACGTAAGTAAATACAATGCTTGTAGTTAAGACTACATTAAATAAGTTTACTTGAAGAAATAATAAGATTCCCAGCTTTATTAAAGTCACTCCTCAAAATGCGAGTACAATATGCTTTATCAAGAAATACTTAGAACTCGGGTCGAATGAGTCCCTGAGCATACATGTCACTATATTTTCAATAATTAATTAGTCTTTACGTCTATTGCTCTACGTTACCTTAATGTGCACGGATTAAACCCGACCAAGGTTTTTTTTCGGTTTCTAACCATATGTGAATCAGTAGTTGTATGTTAATTTCAACATCCCTGTATCAACTCCTTCTAATTGAACTGTATACCACGTATTATTGATGTGTGTCACAATCAACTTAGAAAGCATGTTGTAACTGAGTTGTGTTGATTCCGATGTAAAGTTCTCTCGCAAGATAGTGAATGGAGCCATTGACCGCAGATATACTATTCTAGAATGTGAGATCAAAGTTGTCCGGTCGGAAAATATCATGCTCGAAATATTTAATCTACATCTATCTATGCCACATGCATCAATAACCTGTAAAATGACGATAACCGATTTTACATTCTGCATACTGACGAAGCCCCACCAGAACTACAGGCGTATATTGTAGCTCCACACACAATACTATTGGTAGTGGTTGTCTGATAAGTGACATAACCTGGCCACCTATACTAAACCTTACTACAGTCCATCTGACCATAATTATCTCGAATGAAAAGCACTCTGATTTTTCTACTTCGTGCAAATCCTGATGAGTCAATTTGAAATTGCATTGCCTTAGCTGATTGACCTGTACGCCCGTATATTCAGTAAATGCTTGATTTGTGATTCCGTGCACGAATTAATGATATATGTTGTGTTTTTTGTTTACACTACCTTTTTCAGGTCACTTTCTCGATGATAGCCGCCTCGTAGATCATCACAGCGCGGTAACGCCGCAGGGTAATCACAGTGGCATGGCGTCAGCCGCTTCTATTTATGGGCCTAGCGCCACATTGCGAACCATTGCCACTTCGAACAGTAATTCACCTGCTGGAGGAGGAGGAGGTAATGGTGGCGGCGGTAGTTTAGTCACTGCTACGGGTGGTCTAGGTCTTATCGGAGCCAGCAACGGTGGTCTTGTTGGCAGTAGTAGTGTCGGTGGCGGCGGGCTTGTTGGCCTTGGGGGCGCGAGCATTGGTAGCATAGCGCACCACGCGCCAACAACGTCTAATCACATGACGCATCATCACAGTGCGTCAACGGCTGCATTGCTGGTTGTACCGCAGCCAATTAATGCGAGCAAAATGAATGTCACACTCGGAGCCGGTGGCAGCGGTACAGGCAGAAAGTATCAGTGCAAAATGTGCCCGCAGGTAAGTCAAAAATATCAAAAATCGTTTATGTATAACTTCGTTGGTCGTTAATACTGAACAACTATGGATTCAATAGAAATAACAAAACGAAAATCGATAAAATAAGTATGGCTTCGACTAGTTGCAACACTTCATTGATGCTTAATTTAAATGTTGTGGAGTTCTTGTTTGTTTAGAAATACTATTATTCAGTTTGAGTGGTCTTGCAAAGATATGAATATATTTTCATGATTTATGTGTTAGAATTGACACATATTTAAGGCATTCTTAGCGCTAAGTTTTATCCCAATCCTTTCCAAGAAGTTTGCAGAAGTATTCTACTAGAACAAAATAAACCCTGCCCTAAATTCAATAGATCTGTTTCGCTTTACTGTGGACATGAATGATTTTGCCACTTCAGTAAGTGCTGGTGGTTGAATTTACGTGATGTGTTTATGGAAGCTTTATTGCCAATAGGAATCCTTACATCTTGGTGGTGGTTCAGCTTTACCTCTGAGTACTTTCATGAAGACTTCTGAGATGGCACCATTCCCTTCGCTACGGTCATTTACCCCAATCCTTAAACACATAATACTATGCAATACGAATAATCATATACAAATTGTGACGATTGCACAAATATGACAGAACACCTAAGCTAAATCTTCTAACTAAAAAAAAACATCGTATCACAAATTCGAAGAAGAGCTTTTCACTAGCCAAAGAAGTCTGCTCAAAGAACATAACCCAACGCTGGGTTCGGTGTTGGGTATCTAAAAGCTTATGAATATCTCACAATATATTATTTAATAAAATAAAAGCAGTTTCAGAATAAATCGCGACCATAACTTTATTACTTAAAACAAAATATAATTAAGAATATGCAGAAACGCACTCAGGCATAGGATTATCCCATCCCTTCGAATTACAATTTATGCTATAGGCCCCTTGCAGCTTATAACCGTTAACACAGCGAAAGTGTATAACGTAGTTTTCAACATCCTCCATCAAGAAATCGCTGCTTACCTGTAAGAATTTTTTGTTCGGTTGTAAATAAAAACAAACAAGTGGCTCTTTACAGCTTTTAAAGATATCGGTATCGCATTGAAGAGCTATGGAGAAATGATTAAAAGTTGTGGAAAACCTATAAAAACGAAAACGACATAAAAATATTGAGATATCAACTCACTGCATTCCGGTAGTTTAAGACTTTGTTCATGAGTCCAGCCGTTCGAAGTACAAATGGTTTGTTCTTCGCCTTTTAGCTTATAACCGTTAGCACAACCGAAAACAATCTGGGTATTTAGTGCATAACTTGTGGACTCTGTAATATTGTTATCAGTTATAATCTGTTCGGATTGGACTTCGAGTCGTACCACATTGCAGATTATGGATGCTTGACCTGGGTATGAGATCAAATCTACAGGAAGATGCTGTTAGCAAATATTATGAGAAATATTTGAAATCTGATAATTTAATAAAATAAATCAAATACGTACCCATACATTTGGGCATATTGTGATCCCACTTTCCTGCCGCGCAACTTAAAACGTTTCTGCCATCCAGCACATAACCATATCCACAACTGACTTTTATACTTCCACATCAGAGACTGATTTCTGGCGTTGGCACTGTTGATTTTTCTAAAATCGTTGAACTCGCGATCAAATCTCTTACAAATTAGTGGATAAGTGATTATCCAATATTCTTTTGTCAGTGTTAGAGATTCGCTCTTAAAAACAAATAGAAAAAGTTTGAGTTGAAGGTGAATCGTTTTAAATATTTGCTCAAATGTAAGTCTGAATGTATTAAACAGTTGGTAACGGTTACTTTCTTCATCTACTTTAATATATAAGTAATTGGCATAAAGCTTTAAAGAGTTTCACATAACTCTGTTACTGCTATTGCCTTTGTGAAGGCGTTAACAATTAAAACTGTAAGAACTTACGACATTCAGAGTTAAATATTCCGTTTTCGTATTTCAACCCTGGAACAGGTTGCTGTTTGGCCCCATTTAGCACGTGGCCGTCAGCGCAATTGAAAACCACCATAGTGCCTTGGGAATACGTTTGAAACTGTCCTATAGTTTTATGCCTTGCCCAGATCTCGAATTATGATCGAAAGCAGTGAAAATCAATGGATTTTCACAATTAGCTAACAAATCTTCGCAATAGCGGTGCTATTGGTTTTATATCGAGGAGATGAGATTTCTTAGAGATGCTTGAAAAATAGCAATACTACGAAGTACCTACCGTTGCATTTAGGCATAGTGCCTTGCCATTTGCCTCCCTTACAAGTTAAAAATTTGTGTGCCTTGTAAGTCATAGCCATCATCACTAAGATGTAAATATTCCAATTGGGATAATTGCTGCACGTTTCCTTTGTAGATTCTCCTATGAGTGTTGATCGCAAAATCAAATCTCTCACAGTTTAACGGAGAAGTAGGTCGTTCAATATACCAGCATCACAAGTTTGCTCTTAAAATATAGGAAATAAGGAAATAAGGAGGTTTACACGGACTGATAAGTTTTATCACGCCAGGTGACAGTTAATATATGTATTATTGTTTCAAAACACTCATATGTGTAGGCAAAAATTTCACATCTTACTGCAAGTAGGTGCGTCACTATTCCAGCCATTATTCGTGCAGGTTGAACGATTCGCTCCATTCAGTTTATATCCATATTCGCAGCTATATTCTAAATAAGAGCCTTCTTTGATCATCCTATTCCGCTGCGAATATTGATAGTAATGTGAAAGTCCTGTATTTGAGTCAAATAGTTGGCACATAAGCGGAGGCGAGAATTCCCAAGTCCAATACATCAAACGATTAACTGTAAAAACAGCGAAATGAGATGGGGTCCATCTCAGAATGAATTAATTTAGACCACTATTTGTGAAATCTTACCATCTAGGCATCACATTGACCATCCTTTCGTTGTGCATTTCCTTAGTTTCGGACCTTCTAGCAGATAACCATCATCGCAGACAAAACTAAGTTGAGAATGTTCTAACTTTAGTTTCTGCAAATTATTCCTTATGACGGTTTTTGATCTAATGTTGGGTTCTTCAAGTGAACATTTGAGTGGAGATGCACAGTTAGATTTAAAGTCTACGTCACAGTGTGGATCTGTAGGAAAACAAGTCAATAATGTTACACTCATTGAAGTAAACGTGTAAACTTACTGCAACTAGGGTTTATTGCTCCAGCCTTTGGCTGTGCATGTGTACGGTTTACACCTTCTAAAACAACAATCGGCACAGTTGAAAATACTTGTGACCCTCCATAAGATATAATCGTCCCTGATTAGCATGTGAACTTTTAGAATCGAAGAGCCTGGTAATGAAATGTTGCAAAGAGTGGATGACCAATTGCGTAAAATACATAGCTTAATGGCGGGGTTCCTTTAGTGGTCGTAGACGGCGGTGTTGTTTTGATGTTGTACCGATTTGAGAGTGTTTTGGTTATACTCCAGGATAGTTTAGATTACGAAGTGTTTCGGTGGTATTTAATGTTTTATTAACATAATAAAGTGGACTTTAGGCAGTACGTCAGTCTGTGGCTGTGTTATAGAGATCCACACTAACATTAGACACACTAGCATAGTTAGAGTCGAACTTAAATTTGTTTTGAAAATAGTAGTTTGTGATGCCACATTTGGAGTAGATAAGGTGTTTGCGACACGCCAGTTTATTATGGATCTTCCTCACTTCTTGACCTTATTTCCATTACTCTTGAGTTGCGTTGAAGGTGTTTCCGGGACATCAATAGAAAATGTTGGAGTTGTTAGAGTTGCTGAATATTTTGTTGTTTTCCTAATTTTTGGCGTCGTTATTTGCAAATCTTTTTCGGAATGGTTTCTCGTTACATTTGCTTTTGTTGTCGGTTTGAGGAGTGGTTTAGAAGCTGATGTTTTTTGTGTGCTTATAGTTGCTTTTACACTTGTCGTTGTCAGGTGGGGTCGTTCTGTAGGCAATGCGTTGAAAGGTGTTTTTGTGTCTTTCGTAGTGGTAACAAGTGGTCGATTCGTTGTTGTTTGTGTGCGCGTAGTTTTAACTCCGAATGTGGTTGTTAAATCCTTTTCGGAATTTTCAATGACTTCAAAATGTGTCGAATAGTCTAAAACACTTGTATTCGTTTGCGGTGCATTTGCATTCTCTTCTGTTTTATTTTTTTTTGTAGCCTTAATCGTTGGATTCACAATACCTTCCGTAAACGCAGTTGTTTTTATTCGTGTTGTGGATGTTAATGAGGTATCAATTTCTTTTGCGCAAAGTTCCTCGTGCTCATCCGTACCATCCCAGCATTCCTTTTTTCCATTGCATTTCGCTTTCATAGGTAAACACGCGCCATAACGGCATTGGAACTGATCCTCTTCACAAAAATTGGCTCTACAAAAATGGCTCCATTCGTCACTACCGTCATCACAGTCCTGTACGCCATTACATTTATTAGTGATGCTGACACACTGTCCCGACCAACACTTCATTTGCCCCCAACTAGAAGGGATAAATGAAAATTGACTAGTTTCACGAAATCTAAAAGAAAGATATGTACGTATACGTATGCTTTATAGAGTGGCATACGTTACTGTTGAAAGATGCTATGTGGAAAGTGAAAGTCGAACAAATTTAATGCGGATAACGTTCATTTACTCTCTAATTTTGCTGAATATGCATAAATAAATAGAGATATCTCGATGAAACTTGATACACATATCGGTCAATTTGTGAGTTATATTATAGAAATTCGGAGAGAATGCGTGCATTTCTGATAATACAATTAGTATGCCTACAGAAAACATACATACAAGAATGAGAAGGTGCAGGTCATCGAACATTTGTAAAATTTCATCCTGGGAGGTAACCTCACGAGAGAACTCACCCCGTGAAATATTAACATTGTTTCGATTTTAGCAGAAGGTAACCTGTAGAATTACAGCATGATCAACCAGGAAATTTTGATGAGCGAACCACAGAATGAATGAATGCTGTGTGCATTTTATTAAATTATTATTTAATTTTTTATAAGTTATTTTATACAAACTTATGAATAATTATTCTAAACCATTAAAATAAATTGCATTGAAAAGGTTTATAAAAAAAAAATTGATAAAAATGTACATACATATATACTTATGTTTGTCCGGAAAGATTTGAATTTAGGCAAAATATTTAGTGTTGCAATAAGAAATTGTGCTATACAAACAGCAACCACAGTTAGTATTGCAAAAGAATTGTCTAATGCCTGTGACAGAATGTTACCACATACAAATTACTACAAATACTATAATATTTTGTTTACTACGTTTGCTGATATATATAGCAATGTGGTTAACTCAAATAGTAACTTTGTTTTACAGAAAATAGATAATTCAAGCTGCGCGCACATGTTTTTAAACAAATGGCTATATTTATAAATTCCTAACAGTTTTTCTACCTGTCGGCTCCAAACTACATTTAAGGATTTCGTTTTTTGATAATTCTCCGACTTGATGTTCAATATCTACCGACGGATTTTACTATTGTATGTGCCGGTTATTTTGGTAGTTTATTGTGTCATATAATAATAAATTGCCTTTCACCCATTTTGTTTTTGTTCGCTTTGTCGTTACCAAAACCGCTAAATGTTTAAAAATTTACAAAGTTAGACTTTAATAAGATAGCTTTAACTACGGCGCATGTATTTCTTTGCTGCACAAAAAAAGTTCCGTTAACTATGGCGTCGCCAGTCTGTGTGGCATGATTAGTACCTTAGCATCTTAGCTTAGACTTATAGCGGTTAGTGTATATGTATCTATGTACACTCGGCAGAAAAAGCCTGCGTACACGCTTATGTCTTATTTTCTAAGATACGCCTAAATGCTAAATACGCCTAAAAGTATGCAAACATTTTGCGCATACTTTGTGATCGTGTTAGGTTCATTTCCGTTACGGAATTTCTTGATTCAGTCCTCGCGCTCAAAGCCTGCGATAGAAGCTATGCAAGTCGCACACAGGAAGTCATTCATATCATCAGTCAATAGGCAAGTGCATAATGCTTATGCGAAAGAGCGCTTAAACAAGCTTAAACAAGCTCCGGGATTTCTGGCAGAAAGATATTTTTTTCCAATAAAAACAAGTTTTGGGTGGTAAAGAAGCAATGATATGGGGCTGCATAGCTAGTAATTGTGTGGACCTATTGGAATTTACAGCCCACCATACAGTCCACCATACTTAAATTAGAATACCTTAATATCTTAAAAACAAATTTGAAGCAAAGTGCGGAAGAATTGGGTCTTGTAAGTGGCTTTATTCTCCAAAATCTGCCAACGCACAACCTCAAAGGATTTTGCTCAAGGATGTGTTGCACGAGGAATGAGCTTACATACCTTCGACAGAAACCTCTAAACGTATCTATTCCATGCAAAAACATTTCATGGAAGTTTTAAAACGTTGGCGATATCCGGCTTCCTAATAAATTTTAAGAATAATTCGGGGGAAGAAGATCTTTGCTCGACTTATGTACCCTGTACGCAGAGCTTGGATTTTTTATTCGTCGGCATGTTTTGCTTCGTTTATATGTTATTGTCGGAAATTTAATCACTTTAATTTTTAAAAAAAACTGGATATTTAATGTCATTTAATGAATATTCAGTCAACTGGTTTCTATAAAATGTCTATAAAATTATTTTTTCCAACGATTTTTTTATTAGTACCTTGTGCGTAGACTTTTTCTGCCTAGTGTGTGTCCCTCAATATGTAGTTTTAAAAAAAATGAAATATTTGCGCAAGGGAGAAAAAAGTGCAGAGTCACCATCATTGATCAATAAGATTCGAGCAAGCTTACGAGATATTTTGTAAGTATTTTATATTACAACGACAACATATTCATTCATAATGAGTTAATGATGATCCTTTTAGAAAAGCGAATTTAATTTATTTCATAGTATGAATTCTACAGTACCCCCGGAGTAAGGAAGGACTAAGTTCGGATGCCCCTATTAAACTCTCTCGTTCCATTCTGGAAGTAAAATCTAATGTCTCTGAGGTATTTAGTTATTTATCTATCGCATTTTTAGTAGTTTTTAACCCAACCGTTATATGGTAAGTGGGCGGGGTTATCATTCGATTTCACCTATTTGCACACTATCATGAGAAGGGTTGAAAACATTTGTCTCGTGCAAATTTGGGTGATATAGCACGATTGGTACGGTTCCACGCACACTTTTTAAACATTTTCAAACCACAATGTGTTCCTTTTTTATGTTATTCGTTGTTGTACAAAATACACTCAATACGTTTCCGATTAATAACATTTTGTGGTAGTGGCAGTAGTCCGATTACGTCCATCTACGAACTTGTCCTTACTTTTTTGTCAAGAAATATGTGTACCAAGTTTTGTTAATATATCTAAGTTTTTACTCAAGTTATCGCTTGCACGGACTGACAGATGGATGGACGGACAGAAAAACAGTCACTCGGAATTCAACTCGTCTCGTCATCCTGATAATTTATATATGCAATACAAACAACCGTTAGGTGAACAAAACTATTATACTCTGTTTTTGTATTTACAAATGATGCGCATATCTAATTTACTTTAATTACAAATAAATATATTACTAAAACACAAAAATATATTATTTTACCCATTGCAATTTTCGGGAATTTTTTCCACATCGAAAAAATTAAAATCAACTGCGTTATCATCACTTTTAGAACTAATATGTGAAGTAAAGCTAATAATGACTAATATTATAAATCTAGACATTTTGTTGTCTTAACTTACACGTACTTTTTATGTATATTTAATACTTTCATATCCATTCGTAGAAAACTGACACAACTATAATAAATACATATGTACATATGTATATAAGGAATGTTCAAATGTTGTGCAATATTTTGTGTGTTTGCTATGGATCGTAGTTATTTTTTTAACATTCCTTTCATAACTTTTATCAAATGCAAGTACCTATAAAATAGTACACCCTTCGAGTTTTCAGAAGAAAACGTTAAAGACTCTATATATAATTGCTCACCATGACGAACTGAGTCGATTTGGCCGTTAGTCTGTCCGTTTGTCTGTGTGTACGCGAACTAGTCACTCAATTTTTGAGATATCGATCTAAAATTTTGAACACGTCCTTTTCTCCCCAAGTAGCTGCTTTTGTTTGAACCGCCGATATCGGACCACTATAGCATATAGCTGCCATACAAACTAAACGATCTGAATCAAGTACATGTAAGGAATATTATGTATTTGTGAAGGGTATTACAGCTTCGGTGCAACAGAAGTTAACGTTTTTTCTTGTTTTTGTTGCAATTCTTATCGCGTTTAACTTAAACAAAAAAAACAGCAAGTAAATAAGAAGATAAATATAAAATATATAATAAGTAAGTATATAAAAAAAAAACATGGGCGAAAGAGGGTAGTTCCGTTGTAACTGAACATTATATAATAAATTTTCCAATATTGTGATTTTAGAGTTTTTTTTCCAGTTGACCTTAAACCATTTGTATTTGTCAAAATGTGTGATATTTTAATGAAATTAATTGAACATATTTTCCTAAGCACAATATGGCTTAGCAATTCTCTGATTGACATTTTCTTGTTACATTTTAATGTGAAATTATATCACAATTTCAGTAAATTAGGTTGATTTTAATATAAATACATATCTCGAACAGGAAGAAAAGCTATAATATATGTACATAAGTTTATAAGATACCAAATATAATTAAAATCAAATCACAATTTTGTCGAATAATCAATGCTCACTTCCTACGCAATATAATAAGTTTATCAGGAAATTTAGAACACCCAGAAAAAAACGGTTGACACCCTCTAAAAATTTATATATATGTAAGTGATCACTGTGACGAGCTGAGACCGTCTGTATGCACGTTCTTCTCTCTCTAAGAAGCGGTTCATTTGCTATCTTAAATGAGTGCAGACGCAAAGGTTGTTTCGCTAGAATTCAAAACTGGCTTGGAATTTTGAGAAAGGTTGCCACAAGATGGTGTGGCTGTTAGCGGGGTTTAGTCTTACGATAGGTTAGGTAATAAGGCTGATCCATTGCGATAAAGTGAACGAAGAACCCCACTTAGAAAGCTACATATGACGGCGATAAATCTCGTTTTATATATGCAAATGTGTTCAATGTTAAATTGTGTGGTCGCGATTCGGAATTAGTTGGTAGATTTACAATAAAACGAAACTTATGAACTAAATCATCTTAACAACTAGCCTATTAATATAAATTAGCCCCTCATGATTTGTGTATATTAGTTTGAGTTATAAAGCAATTAATGATTTATTTTGACTAAACATATTTAATAAGAATGGAAAAAGTGTAGTCTATACAAGTAAGGAAAGGCTAAGTTCGGGTGTATTCGAACATTTTATACTATTGCCCTTTGCAAGGGTAAAAGTCGGATAAATATCTTCATACTATTTAAAAAAGCTTGTCCACTTAATTTCACTATAATATTACACATTTTGACCAACCTGAACGGTTTAAAGACAGGAAATCATGGGTGCAGAGAAATTGAAGGGCTAATTGCATTATTTTTTGACATTACTCGGGTCTAATCAAGCAATTTTTTAGATATATAACCCACGAATAACGAGAATAACGAAAATCATTATATGTAGTATATGGTAGTTTGGATAATTCGTGAACCAATTTCACATATCGACATTAAACTATAGTATTGCAATATTATACGTTCAGTTAATTTTGCTAAGATATCTTACATCGATCAATATATACGGTATAAATCCAACCGGAAGTTTAAAAATCTTATATTAGGTGTGTGGGAGGAAAGGGTAGTGTTGATTTGATTTTATCTATTTTTGGCGTTACTACAACTTATTAACGGAAAGAGATGCTTTCTAAGTTTCATTGAGGTACCTCACATACCATCACCAATTTAGTATATGGACTAAGGTCAACCGAATGTTTGAAAATCATCTATATCAGCTATAGGGCTAGGGCAAGTTTTCTCTCGATTTTATGCATTTTAGGCACAAAGATACACTGTCATTATTAAAAACGCTCTCAATTTCATTCAGATAACCCACATTATCAGAAAAGGATTCTTTCGGAATTTCTATAATTTATCTCACAGATTGACTGATATTATCGATAAAAAGTTCGCAATAAGAAGGGGTCCACATATTAGGTATCTGTGGGCTTGAATAGTTATATTAGGATAATATTAACCAACGAGTTTTTCCCCTATAGGTGGGCGATGCCACGGCCATCGTTCAAATTTAGCCCCGGCTCCTATAAAGACCGCTCGTGCCATCTTTATTGTAAAATTTTATGTTTGTTCCCTATTTATAGCATCGATAGAAGTAGTAGTTTTTAACAGAACCGTTATATGGGTAGTGAGTGGGATTATAATCCAAATTCACCCATTTTTACAGGCTGGATAGGGATACCGAAAGGATTTGCTTTAAGCGAATTCGGTTACTCTAGCTTGAATGGTTTAGGAGATATGTACATTAAGCTTACTAGAGAGCGGGCCACGCCCACTTTCTTAAATTGACAGAATCTAATAATACAAAATTTTTATGGATATCCATATGGTCTTTGGTCTTGGTTTATCCATTTATCCTCTCTCCACTTCTCTGGATACTAACAATGAATGAACATTTTATGTTGTTGTTAAACGTTTGCAAATACCCGCGCTAACTTTATGCAAAAAATATTAAATGACATAAATCGACCTGGCTATCAATGGGAGAAAAAGCAAGCTACTTGGGAACAATTTTAGACAGGAATATATCATGGAAAACAAACTTAGATCCAAGGGTAAAGAAAGCAGCTACAGCTCGTTACACCAGCAAAATAATGGTGGGGCACAAATGGCGACTAATGCCTCATGTAACTGATTGGCTCTATACATGACTTGTAAGGCCGACTATGACATACAGAATATTGTTTTAGTATACGCCAAATCAGACATTAAACGTTATTTTATATTTACTGCCAAAATACTTGTTTTGTATTCAACTGGCAGCGAAGTCACCCATAAGAACTCTAGTAGGAGTGCTAACAGGTCCCTGTCTTATTGGACTATAGCCGTCGAAGCATACTTAATCTTCTTGGGAGCGAACTTTCTTCGCCACCAAGCCTATTTGAAACCAGGTTTAAGAAACGTCGTACACACCGTAGATTTCCATAGTTTTTGAGGTACGTAGTGTATTTTAAATGTTTTCAATATAGGTGGCTGATCCGTAGTTTAATTTTATAAGTTTAAGCTAACAAAAGAAAATGTGGCATAAGGTTAAAGAAGTTGAAGTAGATGTTGTATAAGGAATGAAAAAATGGCTTTCTTAAGATGTAATCGCGGCTTCCAAATGCTCGAAAGCATCTGCCTTATGCACAAACTTACTACCATAAAATTGCCACTAATGCTAATTAATATTGGTCATTTCATTTGTCGTTCTGTGTTTTGTTTGAAACATCAATTCCATACATAAACTAAAGTATGTATGTACATATTGTACATTATATTATATTATACTAGCTAAGTACGGGCTATGTCGCTACAATCTCTTGGAAAAATAAATTTTGGGAAAAGAAGGCACATCTAATTGAGTCCCTACTTAAATAAACCAAATTTCGTACTCGTATAGTAAATACATTTATTCAATATTTTTACTCTGAACAGGGTATATTAAGTTTGCCACGAAGTTTGTAACACCCAGAAGAAACGTCGGAGACCCTATAAAATATATACATAAATGATCAGCATGATGAGCTGAGTTGATTTAGCTATGTCCGTTTGTCTGTCCGTCTGTATACATGTCGGTTGTCGGACCACTATAGCATATAGCTACTATACAAAGTGAACGATCGGAATCAAGTACTTGTATGGGAAACTTTTGCATTTGACGAGGTATCTTCACGAAATTTGGCATGGATTATTTCTCAAACAACAATGTAATCTCCGAAGAAATTGTTTAGATCATATCACTATATCATATAACTCAAAATCGAGCGGAATCAAGTGCTGTGAAGGCTATTATAGCTTCGGTGCAAACGAAGTTAATGTTTTTTCTTGTTTTATTATATTTTTTTCAGGCATATACAGTATTAATATTCATGAACCCAATGTTATTTATTGTCATCAGAAATCCACCGCCGCCCATCTGCCATAATAAGTCTCCGATTCTAGTATGTTCTGTCAAAATAAGAAGAAGAAATATAAGAAATTAGAGATTCTCAAAAATCAATACTTGATAAAAAGATGTAAAGCAAATGATAATGTACGAAACATCATTCGTGGAACTAACAATATTGCATATCACTGTATGAGTATTCATAAATTGCTTGAAATGAATGATATGAATGATATGAAAACGTTCCGTTGTTACCACGTCATCAAAATTTCAGTTCAGTGTACTCAGAAAATTATTTGCAAATGCATCTAAATAAATTCAAGTTACACGCATCCATTTTTCCGTCAATCTCTCCGTCTTCCGTCAGTCTCTGCTGGGACATACAACCACACCGACTTCCCATACCCTATAATTTTAAGGTCCATTGATTCAATATGTAAAAGACCTCAGCTAAATTAAATGAATGTATAATCTTTGATATACCATAGTTTAATGTCGAATATATGTGATATCGGTTGACGAATTACACAAGTTCCCATATACTACATATAATGATTTTCTTTATTCTAAGAGATTTATGCCGAATACGTCGGCCAGTGTGTGAGTTATCTTCATAAAATTACGTGGAAACATATTTTCTAATATGCATAATGATAAAAGTTAATGCAATCAGTGCAGACATTGCCCTAGCAAGCAATAGTACTTTCCGCCTTTATAATTTAACTTTAAGCCGTTTATGTCGAATGTCAAAAATTTATGTGGTTGAAATTAGTCTAGACCTCCCGTTCTCAATATAATTATAGTATTTCGGATTCTCTGGTTAAATTTTTTACCTATACCCAATAAATTGAATTTCGCCTCTTTGGTTGAGTTTATAACAAACGCCGTATATATCATTACAGTTAATTTCGTAGACTTTGGTATAATTATCTCGGACAATGAGGAAATGTTTAATGAAACTTAGTAAGTCCAGCCTAACCTAGAGTATAATTTAGTAAGATACCAAATAAGATTGTTGATTTACGGTTTCGGTAAATAATGAATTTTAAGTTAATTTGTTAATAAAGTTTTGCAAGCATTTGAAGGTATGTTCCCCGGCCTTGATCCTTGCGCCAGTATAAAATGTTCAATTACTTAGCCCTTCCGTACATGTTTGGTAATACGGTTCGAATTTTAAGTAACGAAGTAATAAAATTGCTTTATACAATATAAGGGATGCATAGCTAATATACTATAGGTACATATATAATAAAATAAAAACAGTTTATGAATAAATCATGATCAAATAAACTGATCACTGTTATATTACTTACAACAAAATATAATTAGGAAAATGCAGAAACGCACTCAGGCATAGGATGATCCCATCCCTTCGAATTACAATTTATATAATCCACCCCTTGCAGCATATAATCGTTAACACAGCGAAAGTGTATAAAGGAGTTTTCACTAATTTTATTTATCAAGAAATCGTTTCGAACTTCTAACCAATTTTTATTAGGTTCCAAATAAAAACAAATAAGTGGTTTTTTACAGCTTTTAAAGATATCGGGATCACATTCAGAAGCTATGGGGTAATTAGAGTTAAGGAAGAAATAAAAAATGGGAAAGAGTTCAAAATATTGAGATATCAACTCACTGCATTCCGGTAGTTTATGACTTTGTTTATGAGTCCAGCCGTTCGAAGTACAAATGGTTTGTTCTTCGCCTTCTAGCTTATAACCGTTAGCACAACCGAAAACAATCTGGGTATTTAGTGCATAACTTGTGGACTCTGTAATATTGTTATCAGTTATAATCTGTTCGGATTGGGACTTGGAGTCGTACCACGAGCAAGTTAGTGGATGCTTGCACCTGGGTATGAGATCACCTCTACAGGAAGATGCTGTTAGCAAAATATTATGAGAAATATTTGAAATCTGATAATTTAATAAAATAAATCAAATACGTACCAATACATTTGGGCATATGGTGATCCCACTTTCCTGCCGCGCAACTTAAAACATTTCTGCCATCCAGCACATAACCATTTTCACAACTGACTTTTATACGTTCCATATGAATGACTGATTTCTGGCGGGTGGCACTGTTGATTTTTCTAAAATCGTTGAACTCGCGATCAAATCTCTTACAAATTAGTGGATAAGTACAGTTATCCAATATTCTTTTGTCACAAGTGTTAGAGATTCGCTCTTAAAAAAATCAAATACGAAAAGTTTGAGTTGAAGGTGAATCGTCTTAAATATTTGCTCAAATGTAAGTCTGAATGTATTAAACAGTTGGTAACGGTTCCCCACTTTCTTCATCTACTTTAATATATAAGTAATTGGCATAAAGCTTTAAACGAAACTGTTTCACATAACTCTGTTACTGCTATTGCCTTTGTGAAGGCGTTAACAATTAAAACTGTAAGAGAACTTACGACATTCAGAGTTAAATATTCCGTTTTCGTATTTCGAACCCTGGAAGTCACAGGTTGCTGTTTGGCCCCATTTAGCACGTGGCCGTCAGCGCAATTGAAAACCACCATAGTGCTTTGGGGATACGTTTTAAAACTGTCCCTATAGTTATTAATTATGCTTTGCCCAGATCTCGAATTATGATCGAAAGCAGTGCAAATCAATGGATTTTCACAATTAGCTAACAAATCGGCTCGCAATAGCGGTGCTATTGGTTTATATCGAGGGAGATGAGATTTCTGAGAAGTGCTTGAATAATAGCAATACTACGTAGTACCTACCGTTACATTTAGGCATAGTGCCTTGCCATTTGCCTCCCTTACAAGTTAAATATTGTGTGCCTTGTAAGTCATAGCCATCATCACAACTAAGATGTAAATATTCCAATTGGGACAATTGCTGCACGTTTCCTTTGTAGATTCTCTTATAGTTGTTGATCGCAAAATCAAATCTCTCACAGTTTAGCGGAGAAGTGCAGGCGTTCAATACACCAGCATCACAAGTAGTTTGCTCTTAAAATAAAAGAAGAGAAAAATTAGGAATTTCCCGTTGTCACAAAACTTTCATTAAAGTGTATTTTAAATAATTAGCAATAATTAAATTCTTTAATTGACTTTTGTTCAAAACGAGAACGGCTGTCACTTCAAAATTATAACCTAATTCGGGCGAATTTACATAACACATATCTTTCTACAAACAGCAAATGAATGATAAATGCCACTAAATGCATGTATAGGTTAATCTTGACACATGCTGGAAGTTTTGAAGACTATAACTTTGTACATATTTTCCTAATGGCATAAGAAACGGCAAAGGAAATTTAATATTAAAAATATTTATATTTTAGCTGATTGTGAAAAACAAATCTAGAAAAACAAAAAAGAAATTTGATTAAATTTCAACCAAATTTGGTATGTAAGTTAGCCATATATTCATATTACACATTGGAAAATTGAATGAACAACACGTTTTTTTACTTAAACAATCTTTAAGGTTCCATCTGATTTTCTCACAGATTTCCATTCTTAGATTGATGCTTTCTTCATATACCCCATCAATGCAATTTAGCCAATTGTAAAATATAAATAACTTATACACTAACCACAATTTTGTCATTATGTTTGCTAAAATAACGAAAACATTCTTTTGGTATATATTCAAATAAAACGTTCTCATTTTCCGAAGTGTAGGTTGAGTTTATTAGATTATATTAAATGTGGTTATTAAGGTTTAAGATTTTCCCATTTCCACAGGAAGTGATCTCACGGTATGTCGGAGTAGCCGAATGAAATGTTTTCTAGACGTATAATGTTTACTTGATATTTTGGCTTTTAGTTTTTGGAATGTTTGCACCTTAACATTCTCCATTGGACTGGAAAGCTAAAGTAACAAAATTAATTTCTTGTTTCCATCGAGTACAGAATCTGTCGTTTGCACTTCAAATCCATCAGCAGAGTAGCACCATAAACATGCATCTTTTGTAGCACTCCTTTGAATAAACGATTTTTCTCTTTTAGTCAAACACGTCTCAAGAGGTTGAACAAAACAAAAGTTGACTCATTTTTAATATTACATTGCTCTAATCACGTTTGATGTTGATGTTTTCCTGCGCCTATTGCACCCTTTCACCTTGTGTTTTTAAGGGTAGGAGTTTGATTATAGTTCTGCTGCGTTAGATGCCAGATCTCTGAAATCTGTATCGTATTGTATTTAGAGATATATCTAATCCATTTTTAAACCATTTTATTAGCTTCCCTTAGACTGAGGTGTGGCTGAGCCAACTCTTCACAAATGTACAATGTAAATACTTTGGAGTTATTACACAGTCCATTTGGGACTTTAGGTGCTTCACTAGAAGGCTGCTTCAAAACGTTTTTTATACTGAGCACTAAATTTTCTTATTTCACGACACGACGTGACACATTTAGAAAATAAAAACAAGTAAGGAAGCGCTAAGTTCGGGTTTAACCGAACGTTTTATACTCTTGCAACTTGCAAGGATCAAAGCTGGCTACATACCTTTAGGTGTTGGTAATATTATTCATTGTTCATTGTTTAGCGAAATATTGAATGGAATACAATCAAATTTGGTATGATATTATATTAACTTTTGAAGGTCATAGACTCCCTTAGTTTTATTACTATTTTTTACTTCCACCAGCGAAAATTATACTAAAATTATGTGCAAATAAGATATATCTGACATAAACTCATCTGAAAAGCTAAATTTAATATATTGACTTGATGCGAAAACGTCAACCAGAGGATCGGAATTCATTATATTAGGGATATGAGTTAAGACCAAGACCAATTAATTTATATTGAGTGCCAAACCATTAATATAATTTTATAACTTCATCGGAAATCATTATATAGGATATACAATATTAAGGGCAGAGAAATGGAATCGCTGATGCATTAATTTCTGACATTGTTCAGTTGTGCTTGAGAACTTATTTTCAAGAAATTTTATAAACATGTACAAGTATATGGAGTAAGGTCAGCAGAATGTTTCAAAATCCTGAATATCAGTTGTATAAGGGCTAAGGCAGGTTTTCGATCGATTTTATCCATTTTAAGCACAAGATGTTATTAGAAAAACATGCTTCTCAATTTCATTAAAATAATTTCCTCATTGGCCAATATCTGTGTTTTAAAGTCAACTGGAAGTTCAAAAATCTATGTATATTTTAGATATAGAGGCTAAGGGAGGTTTTAAACCGATTCAACCCATTTTTGACACAAGGTTACATTATTATTAAAGACAATTTTTCCCGAATTCAATAAAATATCTCACAGATTGACGGATATTCTCGCAAAAAGTCAACCATACGCACTGGGGTACACATATTTAGCGTCTGGGTTTTAAAATGTTATAGTCGCAATTTTAGCGTGAGATGAAATACTTTAAGTTTGTGCAAATTTTATACGGATACAATCATTGGTTCTTAGTTTGTATACTGGAAAGTTAAAGAATCAGATGGAATTTATAATTGTGCTATATCGATAGTAGGCGTAGTTGTAGTTCGATAGCGCCATTCTCACAATGTAACATAAGTAGGTCCCTAGATATGTGATTTCTCATAAATTTGGGCGGTGCCATGCCCATCGTCCAATTTTGACCACTTTTCCTATAAAGCCTCTTGTATCATCCTGGGTGTAAAATTAAATGTCTCCGTCACATTTAGTTCAGTGTTCTGATTACGCCCATCTACGAACTCGGTCTTATCTTTTTCAAGGAATCGTGCACTAAGTGTCATTAAGATATCTTAATTATTACTCAAAATATCATTTGCACAGACGGACGGACGGACGGACGGACGGACAGACAAAATATCACTCGGATTTCAACTATTCTCTTCATCCTCAACATTTATATATAAATAACTCTATATGTTATTTATCTCGATTAGTTTTAGTTGATACAAACAACCGTTATGTGAACAAAACTATTATACTCTGTAGCAACATGTTGCAAGAGTATAAAAATAACAACTATTGCCACGAAAGGAAAAGTGTTATTTTTTGAACGCAATGTATGTATACATATGTTGGTTAGGAAAAGTATTGTCTACATTTTACTCATTTTTGACACAAGGCACATATTATCAGGAAACAATTCTTTCTGAATTTCAATCGATCTTTGGTTCTGAGGGCTTGATAATAATAAGGTATTTAAAGTTGTAATATATGGGAAGTAGACGTGATTGCAGTCCGATTCATTGTCATAGTTTCAGACTAGCCTCAGTATTCCTAGAAATTATTTACTTTTTGCTTCTGAAGTTGAAGCCGTTAGTTTAATTGAAAATATTGTTGCATTGTTGGAATAACATTATTAAAAAGTATGTAATTATTAAGTGTATTTCAATACCTACCAGCACATTTAGGCATACTGCCTTCCCATTTGCCTCCCATACAAGTTAAAAATTGTGTGCCTTGTAAGTCATAGCCATCATCACAACTAAGATGTAAATATTCCAATTGGGACAATTGCTGCACGTTTCCTTTGTAGATTCTCCTATAGTTGTTCATCGCAAAATCAAATCTCTCACAGTTTAACGGAGAAGTGCAGTCGTTCAATATACCAGCATCACAAGTAGTTTGCTCTTAAAATATAGGAAATAAGGAAATAAGGAGGTTTACACGGACTGATAAGTTTTAGATCACGCCAGGTGACAGTTAATATATGTATTATTTAATTGATTTCAAAACACTCATATGTGTAGGCAAAAATTTCACATCTTACTGCAAGTAGGTGCGTCACTATTCCAGCCATTATTCGTGCAGGTTGAACGATTCGCTCCATTCAGTTTATATCCATATTCGCAGCTATATTCTAAATAAGAGCCTTCTTTGATCATCCTATTCCGCTGCGAATATTGAGTAATGTGAAAGTCCTGTATTTGAGTCAAATAGTTGGCACATAAGCGGAACTTGGGAATTCCCAAGTCCAATACATCGCAACGTTAACTGTAAAAACAGCGAAATGAATGGGGTCCATCTCAGAATGAATTAATTTAGACCACTATTTGTGAAATCTTACCACATCTAGGCATCACATTTGACCATCCTTTCGTTGTCATTTCCTTAGTTTCGGACCTTCTAGCAGTAACCATCATCGCAGACAAAACTAAGTTGAGAATGTTCCTTAACTTTAGTTTCTGCAAATTATTCCTTATGACGGTTTTTGATCTAATGTTGGTTTTCAAGTGAACATTTGAGTGGAGATGCACAGTTAGATTTAAAGTCTACGTCACAGTGTGGATTGTAGGAAAACAAATCAATATTAATGTTACACTTACATTACAGAAGTAAACGTGTAAACTTACTGCAACTTGGGTTTTATTGCTCCAGCCTTTGGCTGTGCATGTTGTACGTTTACACCTTCTAAAACATAACCGTCGCACAGTTGAAAATTACTTGTGAGCCCTCCATAAGATATAATCGTCCTTGATTATCATGTGAACTTTTAAAATCGAGAGAGCCTGGTAATGAAACGCTGCAAAGAGTGGATGACCACAATTGCGTAAAATACATAGCTTAATGGCTTTGGGGTTCCTTTAGTGGTCGTAGACGGCGGTGTTGTTTTTTTGATGTTGTACCGATTTGAGAGTGTTGGTGTTATACTTCCAGGATAGTTTAGATTACGAAGTGTTTCGGTGGTATTTAATGTTTTATTAACATAATAAAGTGGACTTTGAGGCAGTACGTCAGTCTGTGGCTGTGAATTTATAGAGATCTGCACACTAACATTAGACACACTAGCATAGTTAGGAGTCGAACTTAAATTTGTTTTGAAAATAGTAGTTTGTGATGCCACATTTGGAGTAGATAAGGTAGTTTGCGACACGGCCAGTTTATTATGGATCTTCCTCACTTCTTGACCCTTATTTCCATTACTCTTAGGTTGCGTTGAAGGTGTTTCACTTGGGACATCAATAGAAAATGTTGGAGTTGTTAGAGTTGCTGAATATTTTGTTGTTTTCCTAATTTTTGGCGTCGTTATTTGCAAATCTTTTTCGGAATGGTTTCTCGTTACATTTGCTTTTGTTGTCGGTTTGAGGAGTGGTTTAGAAGCTGATGTTTTTTGTGTGCTTATAGTTGCTTTTACACTTGTCGTTGTCAGGTGGGGTCGTTCTGTAGGCAATGCATTGAAAGGTGTTTTTGTGTCTTTCGTAGTGGTAACAAGTGGTCGATTCGTTGTTGTTTGTGTGCGCGTAGTTTTAACTTCGGATGTGGTTGTTAAATCCTTTTCGGAATTTTCAATGACTTCAAAATGTGTCGAATAGTCTAAAACACTTGTATTCGTTTGCGGTGCATTTGCATTCTCGGCTGTTTTATTTTTTTTTGTAGCCTTAATCGTTGGATTCACAATACCTTCCGTAAACGCAGTTGTTTTTATTCGTGTTGTGGATGTTAATGAGGTATCAATTTCTATTGCGCAAAGTTCCTCGTGCTCATCCGTACCATCCCAGCATTCCTTTTTTCCATTGCATTTCGCTTTCATAGGTAAACACGCGCCATATCCACATTGAAACTGGTTTTTCCCACACAATATTGTCTTACATAAAGAAGGCAGCTCGTCACTTCCATCTTCACAGTCCTGTACGCCATTACATTTATCAGTGATGTTGACACACTGTCCTGACCAACACTTCATTTGCCCCCAACTAGAAGTAATAAATACGGGTCAGATATTTGGGCTGTGGTTTAGAAAATATGAATATATAAATTAATCAGATCTGCGTTTATGGAATTTGCGCTTATACCAAGACGTCTTCTTAGAAATTAACTCTCCATTTTTACAAGTCCTATAAATATTTTTATGATATAACGTTGTTCTAACAAGAGGGAAATTTCATCGCTGCTAAGGATTTAACCTTTAGTAGTCATCCTTCAAGATACCAACGCTTGACGTAAATTTCAATAAGTTCTGCGGCCGCACTATAGACACCGCTTCGGTTGTTTCATACCCCCAAAGTTTAAATGATAGTCTCGTAATAAATTACCTCGTTAAATTAAATTGATTAGTGTAAAAGCACGCATGATTAGACCCCTTTATTAAAACTAACAGTACATTAAAGAATGACATTCGAAGAATGTTGTATAAAATTTTCACGAAAAAATATTTAAAAATACGAAAAAAGGAGCAATTATTCGAGCGAGTCTTGGAAAAAAATGAGTTTGTAGTGCCCCTCATAACATGGTACTGAATCATCCGAAACTAAAAAATCCAGGTTCATTCGAGAGGGTTTTTAGAAATTCCAATTTTTAATTTTTAATACCGAACTGGATTTTCCGCGAAGTTTGTAAAACCCATATGGAAACTTTGGAGACCCTATAAATTATATATGTATAAATATAAATGATCAGCATGACGAGTTAAGTCGATTTAGCCATGTCCGTCTGTGTATATAAATGCGAACTAGTCACTAAGCTTTTAAGACATCGTTCACAAATTTTGTACATACATGTCGTTTTCTTCCCAAGAGGCTGCTCATTGGTCGGCTCTCAATAAATTGATCAGGACGGACCGCTCTAGCATATAGCTGCCATACAAACTGAACGTTATATGGAACAATTTTTTATTTCAATTCAATTTGAAATTCAATTTAATTTTCCTTCACTCGTCTTGACATTTTGACACAGTGTTCTTGAAATATTGTGCATTCAACTAATAGAATAAAAAAATACAAAATAAAAGGATTTATAGCCCCTACTCTTCACTACCTCTTTCTTAAATACAAGTACTGTTTAGTCTCAAAAATACGACGTTGTTGGCAAATGCTACATACATTGAAAAATTAGAAAAATTACCCAGCACAATTCTTGCGTTTTGTTTCCTCGTCAATGCCATCATCTGGTAATTCATCGCGTCGTTTACGACACATCTCAGTGACCTCATCTGATGAATCGGCACAATCGGGAATCCCATCACAAATCAATGCGAGTGATATGCATGCACCGTAACGACAACGAAATGAAGCAAATGTACATTGCATATCTTCGCAAGAAGCTTTCGTCTCATCGGAACCATCGTCGCAGTGCTCGATGCCATCGCATAGATTTTCTGTTGCAATACAGGCGCCGGACTTACATGCCCACTCATCGTTCTCTGCACTACACACTTTTGCAGCAATCGCTGTTCATAACAAAAACCAAAGAATTAATCACTAAAAGTAACGGTTGATCTACTGAAGGCCAAGTCTGATCTAAGCGCTGTTTACCGCTATACGCACCAATTTTCCAACTCACACTTAACGTGACGCTCAGGAGCAAGAACGTTTGAAAGCTTGACATTTTCTGAAATGTAACAAACACTTTTTGCATTTAACTCATAAATTCTTTACTGTTTGATAATTCCTTTCACTTCAAAATACTTCTTAGTCCGTTGGCTCATGAAGTACTGATTGCACCAAAGGCATCACGAACGCTACACAGCCGGCACTTTATCAGTGTGAGAGGAATTCGTAATTAACACTCCATTGCAATTATATGTGTGGAGCGAATATTTGCGAGAATACAAAGGAAATTGGATACACAAGTCATATCGAATATGGATTTATAAATCTATTTAGGCTGACATTAGGTTTTTGACTTTTATTACAGCACATGCCTTATATTGTTCATTAAAAAATACTCATAGAATGCAATGCATAGTTTGGCAGTTAATGGGTTAAGTGGTGCTCACCAAATAGTTTTTAGGTTTAAGTGATATATTACTAGTTAGGTTGATTACCTAGTTCATAGAAAAATTATAAAATGTGGGAACGGATATTGAGCTTTTAAGTCATAGAAAAAGAAAGAAAGAATAACAAGAAAAAAGTTAAAAAAAGTTCGATTGCGCAAAAGCTTTAATACCCTTCACAAATACAAAAGATTCCTTACAAGAACTTATAACGGTTAGTTTATATGCCAGCTATATGCTATATTAGTGCGATCTGAACAATTCATCGGAAATTTTGTCGTTGACTTGGACAATAATCCTTACAGGGTTAAAAAAGATACATACTTAATAAGTAGGAATCGAATGGAAAAATGGTGTAATTCGCATGGCGAACAAATATTTTATAAATTCTGATAAAATTTAATTGTTTATATTTATAATAGAATGACGGTATGTATATATTTAAGGGTCACTGTGCTTATCAGTGTGTGACAGTATACTCTCAGTGAGTGATTTTATGAGTATATAATATATATGTCATGGTAATATAAGTTATATTTTGGAAATAAACCCATTTGCTTGACATTTTTACATAGGCTAAAAAATCTTTGGCCCAATCGAGAGATCGCGAGAGTTAAATTATTATTATCTCAGAGTCCTAATCTTAACTAGAACACTGCCAGAGTTTCATGGTATTTCATCCAGTCTTTCTCAATTTATTAGTCTCAAAGTGAGGTTACATCTGCTATGCTCATATGGAACTAAGTGAATTTCGTATTTTGATAAAACATTGTGTCGCTATAAGCAAATAAAGCGAATTTTTGGTTCCTCACGTCAATATCACAGCCTTTTAAACCAAGATACGACGATTATAAATATTTTTTATAATTTTAGACTTTGACTAGGCCGGGTTTTGAGACCACGCCTTACCGAGTAATAATGTTGCTAAATATTTAAGCGTATATGTGAATATGTATGTACTTAACATATATATAAAAAAGTATACGGCTATATGAACATGCAGCAAAAAATAGTGTAAGCATGTTCCTAGCGGAAAGCTTTGCTGATAATATTGTTATACATTAAAATGCGATTTCTTTGGGATTTCCCAAGATAAATATATAAATACATAAATTAAACAGAAATTTAAAGGAAATATAAATATTTATATATATGTTAAAGCAACTTTATATTTTAAATATAATAAATAAACGAAACCATCTGCGGAAATATTTTACTTCTAGTGTAGGCCAATGAATTCTTTATACACTTCCTTGCATTATAATACCATCTGGTTTGCTGAATTAGGGCCACAGTTGGCCTTCAACCGCATTTGAATCGCAAATTCACAAATCAACATCCGGCCCATAATTTATTTTAATCATTTTATGTTTATACAATTTTGAGCTTAAAAATAACTTAAATTTATCAACAACAAAATAAGGAGAAGCAACTTATCGTGTGTGTGTTCGCCGAACATGGTAAGGGAAATATATGACAGACTTCTTCGTTTTTTTTTCAATTCAATTCGATTATGTGTATGGGTCTATTGTCCATTCGGTATTATACTATCGCAACGTGTTGCACAGACAATACTAGTTTTGTCCACCTAACTGCTGCTTGTAACACCTTTGAACTAATCAGAATAGAAATAGTGTCATATATATCGAATGATAGTACGATATTAATTGATACGATATTAAATGAATTCCGGATATCTGTTGTCTGTCTTTCTTTGTCTGTTAACTATGGTTGTTACGAAAGTATAATTTTCTTCCTTCCCAAATGCAAACGATTCCATACCAGAACTAGATTTGATCGATCACTTTGTATGGCAGCTATATGCTAAAATGGTCTGATTTGAACAACTTATTCGGAGATTGTATCGTTAAATATATCTTTTGTAGGGTCTACAACGTTTCTTTGCGAGTGGTGCCAACTTCATGGCAAACATTCAGCAAATTTGGCTCCCAGCGACTACAACCTCTTCAGAAACCAGAAACAATTCTTTCGAAGAAAGCGGTTTTCGCCGAATGAAGAAACTATTACAACTGTAGACAGGTATTTTGCAGAGCTTCCGGAAAGTCATTATAGGTATGGCATAAAATTATAGTCGGATCATTGGAATAAGTGTATTGAAGTTAAGGGAGATTATATTGAATAAAAAATATATTTCGTTATTTCGTACCAAAAACAGTATTTTTTCATTTCGAGCGCAGAAACTTTTCAACCAAATAAGGACATTTCCCTCTAGCGCTTCACCATACAGTGTAAAAAAAATGAAACAGAGGTTAGTTGAAAACTACTAAAAGTGCGTTGACTCGCTGAAGAAAAATATCAAAAGCATTAAATTTGATTGTAAAGATGATACGGCAGGTTTGCTGGTCAAGCGGGTCAAGAATTGGACATGGCGAAGACCACTTTTAGTTGAAATACCTATATCATATGTCAGCAACTACATGCCACTTTCAAATAAGTAAAAATTGGATGTAAGTACTTGCTTAAGGATAATTTAGTTTAGTTCTAAAATTAAGAAAAATCAAACCAGGCCTTCGTTTGTCCTAATTATAGAGATTTTCGGACTAAAAGTTGTTAAATTGTCGTAGAATTTTCGCGCCTTAAAGCAAAAAAAGTAGTAATAATTCATGCCACACGATGAGATAATTCAAGGGGTCTATTAGGAACTATGATTTTCTGATCTACATACATATGTCTCTCTGGATCAAAGTTTCGTTTCAAAATTTAGTAGTACTTGTGTATATAAAAAACAAGTAAGGAAAGACTAAGTTCGGGTGTAATCGAAGATTTTATACTCTTGCAACGAAATAAATAAATCATTTATAATTCTATATATATTCAGTTAATTTTGCTAAGATATCTTACTGCTGTATAAATATATACGGTATACAGACATGGGAGATAGGGGTAATATTGACTCGATTTTATCTATTTTTGCCATTACTACATACACTAAAATACCTCACATACCATCAGCAATATATAAAAAGTAAAGTCCAACAGATGTTTGAAAATCTCGAAATTAGTTACATTGGGGCTAGGCCAAGTATTCACCCGATTTAATCTATTTTAGGTTCACAGATGCACCGTCATTAGAAAACCGTTCAATTAGGTATATGGGGTCTAAGAGAAGTATTGACCCGATTGACCAATCTATTTTTGACATACAGACATAATATTATCAAGAAAGGGTTCTCACCAAATTCCAATTATATATATCATACATTAAAGGATAATTTCGGTAAATAGTCAACCATTGACACTTGGGTTCACTATTTTGGTATATGGGATCTTGAACAGTTATGGCCCCATTTTGACAATTTCAAGACTTGAGATAGCCTTCAAGAAACGTGATTTTTTCCACCCCAGCTGCTCAATATATCCCGTCTCATCCAGCTGAAGGTTGTGCATTCGCATATATAATGTTCCAGTGTCCAATCATTCTCCGCGTATGCTCTGCATTCCGCCGAATTGACTTTTCCAATTTTCTGAATGTGGGATCTGCAGTGATGAGCCCTAAAATGTTACTAAGTTGCCTTTTGTCTAGAAGTAGAAGCTTTTTGGTGTGTCCACCATCAACACTGCCCCAAAGTAAGATTGTGGATGGCCTGTCTTGCTAGTGTTCCAAGACCTGAGGTGTTCCTTTACGGTCCATTGATTCAAACAACCCTTAAAGGAGCTGAATAATCGAGGGTGATTGTGTTTTCAGCCGCCCCCAACCGTACCAGCTCGTCGGTCTTTTCATTTCCTTCTACTCCTGAATGACTAGTGCCCAGTTAATAATAACCGTGTCACTTACTGATAATCTAGATATTGCCTGCTTGCATAATTTAACACAGTGAGATTTAGTATCGGTGCTATGGATATTCTTAATTATCGCTTCGCTATCCATTTAAACGTTTATGGACCTTGCCGATTAGAGCAGAAACCCACAAAGCACCTTCTGTATAGGAAATTGAGTTTCGTCTTTCTGACCAGTCATACCACCCGATTTTTTAAGAATAAAGCTTATAGCCGTTAAGTTAATCAAGTGTAGCATAGTGCTTTATTATAATTAATAAATAAAAGTATAAAATCACTGCAGTAATAATATAATAGCAAAGTAAAACAACAATTTATTTGAAATTATAAATAAGGCTAAAGTCAGCATCCAAAATCTTTCCAAATTCCTTTCTCATTGCATTGATAGTAACAGTTACGCGTATCATATCTAAAAGAAGTGAAAACAATTACTATTTAAATTCTAGTTACTATAATATTTTAAGTCATACAAGTACATATGTTAACTAAGACAAACAAACTAAAAGAATTCGCTGAAATACAAAAATAAAAGTCGGATTTTCGCATTTTTGCTCAACAATGCTAATTTCAGATGAAAAACAATTTAAAAAATTTTTAATTTTAATCGATTTTTTTTCTATTTAATACCAAAACACAGTCAGGATACATTTTTTACGTGCTTTTTTTTCTACAGGACCGACCAATCAGTTCAGTCCGGACCTGCGTCACAGCGGCACAAATTTTGACATTTGAGTGTCGGTACCTTTTGCTTTAAATATTTTTGTTGTTAACAACCAGTTTTACAAGAACACCGCCAACTTTGTGCAAACAATAGTTACCGTGTAATCTTGTAGTGCAACACAATAAATTTTAAGTTGTATCCATGATTCTTAGGATATGCTGAGAGCTACGATTCAAGTTAGTTCATTATGTTACGAAATCATTGATTTTAAGATTTTTACTAAATATTTCAAGCTGAATCTGAAACTTAAATCGGAACTCAAGTCCTTTTCATTTGGCTTAAGCAACGGTTCCTTCTATCATATAATTTTTAGAATATTCTAATTATGTTGGTATTTCTGTTGAACTTACTGGCATCCTTTGTGAACAATTGTTTTGGGCAATATAGCTTGACACATAACTTTACGACCACCGTACGTACAGCAGTCACTACTGTCAATCCATTTATACGGACAGTACTGAGATGGTTGATACTTCTTATTTAGATATTTCAACGCTATTCTTGTGATAGTTACAGTCGCATTATTAGGTTGTGTTTTTGTGTTATTAGAAATTGTTGTTGTACTAGTGCCGTGGGATCCATGCGATTCATTAGCCTTTTTGCAAAGTTTTTCAGCTTCATCGCTCTTATCCATACATTCTGCTGTACCATTACACTTAGCGCTCAAGACTATACAGGCACCGTAATTGCATTTAAAATGCGTGCTTTTGTCACATACAACCGTGGCACATAAGTTGGGCCATTCATCGCTCCGGTCGTCACAATCCACTATGCCATTGCATTTGTCGGAGATCCGAACACATTGACCTGACCAGCATTTCATTTGTCCAAATCTAAATTTGTATATTATATATAATTATGAATTTTTATAGACCTAAGTAAGTTAAATAAGCTTTTAATGCTTTTAAGGCTTAACCGTCAAGGTCGAAGTCTTTATCATCCTGAATACATATTTATATTGAACGTCAGCATATTTAACTAAAAATATCGCAAAACTTCTATTGAGTTTACCCATCACATTTTTTTCGTTGCGCTTCTTCACCAAATTCATCATTCTCTGCATCAAGACGCCTTTTGAGGCACATTTGACGTTCTTCATCCGACGAATCCACACAATCGTCAACACCATCACACATCTGTTCGATTGGTATACACGCACCATAATCACAACGAAATGACGCCGCAGTACATTGCATATCTCTGCAAACTTCTTCGTTCTCATCGGAACTATCGCGACAGTTTTTCATGCCATCGCAGACTTCATATATCGAAATGCATGCGCCGCTCCGGCATGGCCATTTATTCGTCTCAAAAGTGCAGTTGGAACGTGTAATCTGTGTTGCAATCGAAACTGACAAATGTTGCAAATTCAAACTGTTAAGCTAACGTTGTTATTAAATATTATATATGAATTTTTCATTCAGCTAATCGCTTGTAGCTCTTTCTCTCTTTCCTTACCTTTTCTCGCGATACTGCTGAGTGCGCTGATAAGGAACAGTGCTGAACATATTCGGTGCATTATTGCTTTATTTTTTTATAACTGCACGAATAATAACACGATGTCTGTGCTCTTTGCGCGCCAAGAATATACTGAAAGGCCCGAATACGATGCGTTTTCGAAAACTTCTGAGTACCATGTAATTTTCTTATCATTCATACGTACAGTAATCTGAATAGCAACAATAACAAAAAATAGATTAAATACGGTGGGAATAAATTAGCCAATATTAAAATTCCATCGCTTCAGGAATAATCGCTTTGGTACAGATTTAGGTAAGATTAGGTTATACTGGCCAGCTCTTACGCCAGGCATAGACCAACTGGTTCTTAGTAATGCTAGATAGAGGTTCTGTTTAATTTAAGGTGAAGTATTCGTCATATAGGACGACAACGCGTTTTGCTAACTTTAAGAGCAACTTGATATCTAAGTTTGATACTAGTCCTTAGAACTGCGAATGCCATATATATTTAAAACGAGTTCCAGATAGTGCTGGACAGAGGCATAGTAGGTGTTCCAGCGTCTTGCTTATGCCTGCTTCTCTGCACTTTCTGCATGTATCGTCGTTACTTATACTTGTACCCATGCGACGTGCATGTGATGCCAGTAGGATGAGTTCTTTCGATACCGAGTGAGTAAAAAGCATGCGAGTGTTCCTTCGAGGCACTTGCACATGATCTTGGCTATCCTGCATGTAATTAAGGCATTCCATCTCGCCCTGATCCACCTGTCAGCTCTTTCGGAAATGTTATTGTATAGTTTGTATATGTTTTTAATGACTTCCGTATTTCCTGCACTTGTTAGGTAGTCAGATGGATGGCACTTTTGGCAATCTCATCAGCTGTTTCGTTTCCCGGAGCCCCTTTGTGACCTGGAACGCAGTATATATGCAGCCGATTTTTGGCAGCCGCTACATCTGCCATGCCACATATTGCCCCCTGCTTCTAATGACATTTTCTGACGTAATGCGAATTGCCTTGATTGACTTGATATTGTCTTGATTGCCGCTTGGCTATCGACGTATGTATATATTTAGCCTTTTTATGTTGTTGCCTGCGTTGTTAGCTATCTCCGCCGCTTTTCTGACAGCAAAGACTTCCGCCTGGAAGGTAATGTAGTATTCCGGAAGCTTGAAGGTTCGCCTAAGAGCATTCCCGTTATGCAGAGAAAAGTCGCTGTATCCACTCTAACGGTTTTCTGTATGAAATTCTGCTAACAGCGATAAACCACACCAAAGCAGATTGGTTTGACTACCACCGGCTGCTTCCAGACTGTTAACAATTGCGTTATTGGAAATATTGTTGAATGATCCACTTATATAAAGAAAGATGCCCAGAACATATTCCTTATGCTATAGAGCTTTTTCGATAGTTAGGGTAAGCGATCTGCTTTTGATGATCTATCCTTCGCATGTGCGTGTTGTGCCTTTGATATGTTAGCTCATAGAAAACCTCCAAAGGGTAGGTGCATAATGAAGCTTTAAGCATCTTTCGTATATTGTGATCAGGTATGGTACCAGCGCCGTTGATACATGCTGCGTTATGGCTAGAAAAATACCGTCCATGCCAGGGATTTAAAACGAATTTAATTTTTTTACTCCTCTAGAAAATCTTTATATTCCTCCAGCAGTGTTCTTCATAGACCATCTTGGCCAGTTTGTATAGCTCCATAACACTACGCCTACGTAATCCGAGCTCCTTGTTCCACCAAGTTGGCCTCGATTCACGCTTTGCATGTATTGGAGGGCCCGCGATACAATACACCCTTTTGAGAATGTTAGTGAGCGTGACTATGCGTTCCTCTAGTTCAGAGATTGAGTTACATTTCTCGAGTCAATGTAAATTGCCTATTACTAGATCTTCCTGTACATATCCTAGTTAGTATTCATAGTATTCCTAAAGATTGCCCTTTTGTTAAGGGCTTAGAATTATATTTGAAATATTATTATTTCGCTAATCCCCGCGGCCTAATACTGTGTGGTGTCCTTCACCATCGTGTGGCATGTAACAGGATACAAAGAGTAGCGTTTTAACCTTGCCATCCTTTACGGCTACTACAGTCCGGTCATCTGAAGAGAAATTTGGATCAATATATGAATGCATACTTTTCTTTACCAGATGGCTGTTCTGACCTTGTCTGCTGTACTCGAGAAGTATGTAAAGTATGTATGGCGTTTTTAAGCCAGGTACCATGTTTCTAGCTCAATTAGTAAGATATAAGTATATTAGAAAAATTAAGTGAACGATTTCGGTCTGTGTGTGTATATATGCATATACTCGTATATTGTAAACATAGATGGGACGTGAAGGATTTGCTTATATTAATGTAAGCGGGTGCATTTCAGAGGCAGCCGAATTATTACAAAACATTTCCAGGAGAAAATAATTTTGAAAAGGCGCATAAAATTTCGATAAAGTTGCATAACGGTGTATTAATTAAACTTGATAATATTATATACTACTTAAATTTAGTTTTAATGAAATTTAACAACAACGATGCTTGGCTTCATTTGTTCCGATGTTTATCAGCGCGCCTAGCTCTCGTCTGCAATGACCAATATGCCGTCACGCGTATACTTGAATATGTGCAAGCCTTCTTGCAACAAATACGATATTAATACTAACAAACTACGTAACATAAAAAAAATATGATATTAACATAATTTATATAAGCCAGATGAGTGAGCAAAAGCATGTGTGTAAGTTAAAGTTGCTAAGGCGAATAAATAGTAAAAAAGGTTAGATGCTGAAAACTGAACCGCTAAAAAACGAACCTGCACCTAAAACAAGCTATAAGCGCATATAGCTGGCTATCTATGTATTTACTTATACAGAAGCATATGCATACATATGTATATATGGAGTTTAATAAACCCAGGCAACAATTTCCAAAACTTTTTTTTTTCTGCGCCACTTCACCGCGTGAGAGCTCACCTAGAAAGCTATTCTCTTAATTATGGTCCAGCGATGAGGCTACACACGTGAATTGCGACAGGAGTATACGAGAACCAGTGGCGGATCCACGTTTTGGCACGGTATGTATGGCAGCTATATGCTATAGTTCAAGTCTAGGTTCTTCAAGCTATAGAACTATTATAAAAAAGTAAGTATATTAATTTAAAGGCACTTACCACATTAAACCACAAATTGTCTACGAGTATATACATATACTTTATTACCGAAATCACCTTCGATTTTATCAGACCATAATAAGCCAATTTGAAAAACTTGTTCATCACTAAAACACCACTCGGCAGTGGCACTGCTCTGTAAACTATAATTTAAACATGTATTAAGTCCAATCCATGCCTCGAGTTCGTGTGCTTCCAAGAGATTCCAATCAAATTACTTCAATAATGACTTTATAACTTAAGGCCAGTTTATATTTTGAGCATAGTAAAAGATATTAGATCTAGCCGTTACGTAGATCGAATGATAATCGTCACAGCTGAGTTTGGGTCCATAATCGGGGCTCCCAGGGGTGGATCCCTTTGATAGTAAGAAAATTACTTGTTTCATTAAAAATTTCAGATAAAACACATTGTTGCTCAAAAAATTAGGAATAGATAAATTTGTGTAGAAAGCTTAAGCAAGAAGTAAGGTTAGAAAAGATTCCTACAACCCTGAATAACCGAAGGAGGGCAAAACCGAATGGACTTTGCATAACAAGAACCATTGAAAGTGGCTGCCTGCAAATGAAAGCAAATATCCCTACTCTAACAAATTGAACAAATTCTGCTTACTGGGCAATATTAGGTGCACGCACTTGTAAATGTTAATAAGTGCACTAACATATAAAAGTAGGCCCACGCATAACTTTAATCTCATTGAGAATGTGTGCGTTGCTATGAACAAAAACACATAAACAGAAAAAACAAAAAAAAAAAAAACCCACGTGAAAAATGAAAAACAAGGACAATAAAAATAAAAAACTAAGCAAAAGTGCAAAATTTTTGCAAAAATTGCAGCAGCATAACAACAAAAGTACAAAACATGCATGTTAGACACACAAATGTTAGAAAGAGAGAGAGCGAATGAATCAAAACAAATGAGCGCACAAAATCCGCACAGGAGAGAGTGCGAAAGTCAATGAAAGAAATGGTAAGAGTATGGGAGTGGTGCGACGTTGGCAAATTGTGCGTTTAGTTGTGCGAATGGGCCTACAAAGTGTGAAAGTGCGAATAGGCGGCGGCGCCGAGGGGATGTAAAGAGAACGGGAACACGTGAAAGAGTTGCACGGGCTGAAGACAAGTGTAAGCGAGAAAGCGCAAAACTGAAATGTAAATTTGTGGCATTTTTAAGCTTTTTAGCCTATTTTTAATATTAATTAAAACAAATGCAAACACACACAAGCAGATGCGATTTTACACGCGAATAGGTGTCATGCGTGCATAGGCGGCATTTGTGCATAAAGCAGCGTGGCATAGAGCGTATAACTGTACTGCGGCGTGTGCTGTGTGTGCTGTGTGTGTGTGTGTGTAGGTGATAAAAGTGTGGGAAACGCGCAACGCCACTTGCGGTTGATTGCTGGGCTGTGTGTATGTATATATGTATGTATGTACATAGCTCGTGCGTAGCGTTGTGCATGTGTGGGTGCATTTGGCTAGTAGACCAATTTGCACATCATATAAACAGCTTTTATTACCTTTTCCCCACACAAACTTCTATAGTTGCGCGTAAGTGTGTTCGTGATTGTCTATTTCCGCAGCCTGGATTTTACGTGTTGATTGCGCTAAATGTTTATTGCTGCTAGCAAAGTGTAAAGAAGTAAGTATAACAACTGAGAATGAAATAGAATAGATTGATCAGTAAGGCGATAGCTTAGCCGAAAAGGTAGCTGCAAATAGTAAAACAAACTATCAAATGCCTGGGACTACTCAACTTTATGCAAAAAGCATTTAGAATAAAAGCACATACGACATAAAAGCTCGTATACGCAACTTAGCGATTAGAATCTTACTTGTCTGGTTAACAACAAATGCAACAGAATGTACATACAAGAGCGCTTGCTGGCCAACGAAAGTGTCGGCGAGGCGACCATGTATGCAAATCAACTTGAATTGTTTATTAGTATTTGCCTTTTGGTGGCCGTGGAGTAGGGCTTAGGGCTGGGTGCGATACTATTTTATCTTACGCGAGAGATATTGTATAGACAATACCAAGACTTGCCTGACTTGTTTAATT